CCAGAGGCTAAAAAAACAAATGTCTCCTCCTCAGCAATAAGAAAAATCCTCTCCTTTTGTCTTAACCAAACCCAGCCTCTTTATCATGAGTCTGGCTTGCTGCTTCTTGCATCTGTGACTTGAACTGCTCCCCAAGATTTACTTGCCTTGTGTCTCATTCCCTCAGGCCTCTATTTTGTGACTTTTAAAGTGACAATCAGTTAATCCAATAACAGAGTCCTGCTAATGTGCTAATGGGAGAAGGTGAAAAAAAGGCTCCTTCCCTTCTGACTCAGGTACCAGCTGTGCATTTAACAGGGCCCTTCTGGAGACAATTAAATAAATGCTTTATTGAAACAATAAAATTAATAGGGGTCTCATGGAACTCAATGAAAGGTTTTTAAAAATTAACTTCATTGTTTTTTAAGCTTCAGATTAAGCTTTGCTAGGCAAGGAGGAATGGGGAGGGTCAATTTTTCATTACATCAGGTCCCTGCCCACAGGGCCACACCTGAGGTTGAGATCCCAAGCCTGAGCTTTCGTTTCCCTGGGGACGTGCCATTCTGGCAGCCTGGCTCCAATGGGCTCTCCCAATAAGAGGTAAGATTTTTCTAAACCATAGGTTTGGTTCTGATCCTGGGACTGTGACTTCATAGATCGATTAATCCCAGGCTCCATGAGATTTGGGTGCCCTAGGTCACGTGTCCCGTTGAAGGAAATGCCATGATGACATTTGTCATGTAGAATGATTGAAACAATGGAGGTTGGGTCAACTCATTCTCCTGGAAAGTGGGTGGGATATTTGTATGGTTCTACATTTGTCTGGATCCTGGCCCATCTACCCCACCATATTGCCTCACACCCTTGCCCAGCCTTATAATCTTTGGTCACTCATTTCTTCCTAGGAACTATTTTCAGCCTCAAGAAAGGCCTAAGAAGTCAGAGTCTGTCAAATCAGAACTTGAGGTCAGAGATTTTGGAAAATCTGTGGGTGGTTCTGCTAGGGGGAGGAGAGGGGTGGGCTGGGGAGCAGGTATGATGTGGGACTAGGGCACCTTCTCATGAAGGATTTGCCCATTTGGAGGGAGATGGGACCCTGGGCAGGGAAATTCTTATGGAGGATGTGGTTCTCTGTCTAGATGGGTGGAGCTGGCATAAGACTGTCTCCAGGACCCCTCATTGTTCCTATCAAGGTAGCACATTGATTCGAACCATCTGTGGGCTTGTGAGCTCTGATTAGACTTGGCGTTTCCAACCCTGGGCTCCTGACTTACGCCCTGTGTGAGTGTGAGGAGCAGCCTGGGGGTGCAGTTGAAGTCCAGGCTGGACCCTCTGTCTGAGTCCCAGACTCCTTGCCCCCAGTGACTCAGGGTACATGCAGCTCCAGGCCCCTCCCATACCCTGAGCTGCCAAAGGCATTGGGAGGGTTTCTGAGCTGAAAGTCAGAAGGCAGCTGCTCCCAGCTCTGCCCCTAACTATTATGATTTAGAGCAAGTTATTTAGTCTTTCAAGGTCTCAGATTTTTTCATCTGAATAATGGGGATAATGATACCTGCTGTGGTTGTTTTTGAGGATCAAATGAGGCATAGGTGTGATCACTGTGAAGTACCTGAAAAAATGATTGTACAAAGAGGTGGTGTTCCCAGTCTCAAGGAACAGGGCTTTCTTGTCCTGGAGTTGCCATCCTCTGAGTCCTGGGTTCAGGGTGTCTTTGGGCTCTGGAAAGAAGAACAAAACGTTTGGGAGCTCTGTTTATTAACTCCTTTGGTCCCTCACTTGTTCTTGAGGGCTTCTACCCTCTTCCCCCCAACCCCCCGCCCCACCCTTCTGGTCCCTTAGACTGGAGATCTTGGAGGTGTCTGATTCTTCCCACTCCTTTATCCTTTTATATCCATTCTGTCAGCACATCTCATTTCTTTGAAATCTATCCCAGACTTACCCATTCTTTCCTGATCCCACTGCCATCACCTTGGTCTAAGCCATCATTGCCTGGGTTTCCTTAGCTCCCCAACTGGTTTCCCTGCTTTTAGCTCCCCAACTGGTTTCCCTGCTTTTACTCTTCCTCCCCTCTGAGCCTTCCTGCAAAAGGCTGCCAGATTAATCTCCCCAGCAGTCCCTAATGATCTCAAGGCCATCTTCCTCCTGCTCTCAGTCTTCCCCTCCTTGGCTGCATCTGTGCTCTGCAGCCTGGTTCCCCTAGTGCTGTGCCTGTGCACAGGCCATTTGCCCTGCTTGGAGTGGGAATACCATCTCCTGTACTGTCAATTCTCACCAGTCTGCAGCATCTAGCTCAAGTTGCTAGCCATGACCTCACCTCAGATTTTCTTAGGGGTTGTCTTGTGGGACTATCTCCTTGCTCTATGTGTCCTAAATTCTTCCTGCTTATAGTGACAGTGCTGATTTAGTATCAATTATTTTTCATTTCTCGTCCCCCTGCTCTGCCTCCCTTACCTAGATTATAAACTCTCTGAGGGCTGGGACCCTGTCTTCTATCTTTCCTGTAACAGCTAATCAAAGGCTGGATGTCCTGTAAAATCTTGGTTGACTGGGTATATCTTGGTGCCTGAAGACTGAGTGCAGACAGGCTCTATTCTGCATAGAGATTTCATGTGGCCTCTCCTCCTCCACCCTACCTCTGCTCTTCAGAATCCTTCCCCCCTATGTCTTCATCCATCAGTAATAAAGCAGGAACAATAGGGGGTTTCTTTCTAATTAAAGGGAGCAGTTAGTGTTTCCACTTCAAAGCCCCAAGAGAGAAGACTTTTGTTTCTAGGGCCTGGGAGCTCTGGAAGCCTCAGTGGGTAGGGAAGTGTAACTCCAGGCCCAGCCAAGCATTAAGCTCGTGAACCTGAGATTCCCCCCATTTGCAGGCAGAGAAGCTCAAATTTAAAACAACAACGTAACTTGGTAACTTGGGCTCTGATAAAACAGTTGGGGGAATTTCTTCTCTCCCAGCGTCTGAAGCCAATGTTATTACAGGTGTGTGTGCTTGTCTCTCCCACACCCTACTCAGCCTGCAACCCCACCACACAGCACACACACCCATGCTATGCCACACACTCACACACATGTGGGACTCACAAAGAGCATAGAGAGCACTTAGTGGGTCCACCCCTCCCTCCCATTCTCAGGGCACTGTGCTATTCCACACACATATCACCATCCCACCTCCAAACGCTCAGGAACTCTGGCTTGAGAGCGGTCCATTCTCTTTTCGGCTACAGATTGGCTTGGCAGAGAGGTGTTCTCTTCCTCCAATGTTCACCAGCCACAGGCAGATTCTCAATGCTAGGCTTACACTAATTCCCACCCTGATTATAAACTTGCCCCTGACTCTGACCAGGACTGAGACCCCAAAGCCGTCACAGACTGAGTGTGAATATGGTCCTAGACTGAAGCTCCAGAATGGTCATGGAGCATGTCCTAACAGTAGACCCAATAAAGAGCATAGAATGGGTCTTTGATCTAACAAGTCATCTTATAAATTTGATCTACTGATAAGAAAGATTGGAAGAGACAGCTTTTGTTCCAGTTCCACAGCTGGAACTCTGTAAAGCCCACATCATCCATCCATCCATATGTCCATCCACCCACCCACCTGTCCATCCTATATTGAGCACCTGTGTTTTGCCATATAGTGGTAAGCAAGCCTAATACAGATCCCATCCTCCAATATCTCAGTGTTAGATTAATAGCATGGGCTTTTGGCATTTAACAATCCTGTGTTCAAGTTCTGCCTCCTTGGGTCACTTTGGGCAAGTTTCTTACCCTTTCTAAATCCCAACTTCCTCATGTGTAAATTGGGGATAATCTATCAAGTGCTAACACAGTGCTTGGCACATAGAACATGCTCAATAAATAATGATGATCATTCATTTAGTTATTCATTCCAGTGGGGATATAGATATAAACACCTATAATTACAAAATAGCAAAAGGTCTGTTCTGGTTACATGTATCAGGTGAAGGTGAGCCCAGGGGAGATTCTGGGCCAGCTGCGGATGTAAGGGAAGGCTTTTGTGGGGATGGGGCTTGGGAGCGTGGGTGGAGGCAACCCTTGGGTAGAGCCTAGAGGGAGTAGGAATTTGTTTGGCTGACCAAGCCTGTTGGATCCAAGAGGTAGAAATAACATGCATGTTCCACTGGGTCAAGAATGGCATCCCCCCTGCAGACTAGGGGTGGTATATTTTGAAGAGCACTATTCCCGTGACACATGTAATCAATGCATGCTGCTAACTGACGAAGGTGAGAGTGCTTTAAGCATCCCGGAGTGGCTCAAAGGGCATTTGATGATGGTGGTGGATGGTGATGGTGACACACGACATGCTGTGATCATGGTAAAGCAAAAACATGGTTAAGAAATAAAGGGCGGAGGTCTTCTGGCTGCACACCTTCCTTCTGCTCTGACTTTGCTTTTTTACCTCCTTTCTTTCCTGATACCACCCCCTCCCTGCTTTCTTCACACTCTTTTGTCTCTGTAGAGCACAGAGGGACACCCTTGTCCTCCCTGGTTGCTTTCCTCACCCCCTACAAGGCCCCTGGTCTGAGGTCTGGTCTGGCTTGACGGAGGGGAACTGTTTCTGCGCCCCTGTGAGGCAGCCAGCAGCCAGCATGAGGCATGGCCGCCCTGCTGCTGGCCTTGCTTGCTCCCTGATTATTTCTCCTTAATTGGGCGTAAAGAATGCAAGGAATGTGGAGTAGACCGCATGAGGAGGGCTGCTGCAGTCCCTCAGGGATGCGGGATTCTGAGCTCTGGATGGGAGAACCGGACAGCCCCTGAAGTGCACAGACCGTGTGTCATTCCTGGAGCTGTCCATCCCCCCTTCCCGCCCCAACGGTGGTAGGCTCACTTCTCCAACTTTTGATAGGTCTCTTACCTGCTCTGGGCCTTTCTTCTCTCTTCTTTCCACACAAAGAATTTCATCTGTTTGTAAAACTTGCCATGATCTCCCCTCTTCCCAGGAGTATGCCTTGGTTTAAGCCCATCTGACATTGTTAATCCTTATCAATCTGTAATTCCAGGTGGAACTCTAAAAGCTATTTATTCTCCTCTGGTGGAGGAGGGGAAAGCCGGAAACAGTGAATGCTGCTGGGAATCCTGTGCCTGCGGGAAGAGGTGAGTCCAGGAGTGAAGCCCGGATGCTTTCTTGTCAGGAAGACAGCCAGGCGAGCCACAGGTGGAGGGTGACTGGGCATTGGAGGTAAGCGCTGCATGTATTTCCTCTGCCCACTCAGGGTCAAGCCTCCCACCTTCTCGGGTGGAGTGTGACATGGAGGAGAAAGCACAGGTTGAGGACTCAGATCTGGGTTTGAGTCCTGGTGCTGTCTTGTTGTCTACTAGCTGTGTGACTGCAGGTGACTTTTTTAATCCTTTTTGAGACTGTTCCCTCATTCTTAGGAGGATGGTGGTATTTCCACACTTGGAGGGTTGTAAAGATTAAATTAGATGTGCTAAAGCATATGAAGAATGTAGTAGGTGCTCAGGAAATATTAGTTTGGTTCTTTGGAGGACATGGGAAGCAGGGAGTTGAATTTTTCTAAAAGAGGGTTTGTTTCTTGTGATTACTTCAGTTGGCCATCCCTAGAGATGATTGAAGGGACAGGGTGAGGCTGTGAAACCCAGTCCTTGGACTTCCACCCAGAGACCATGTCCCTGGAGCTGTGCTCTGCAAATGAATGGGTCTGTATAGCATGCAAAACAGAAGTGCAAGCAGTTGGAACACTTGGCAATCCCAGTGCTGAGGCTCTGGTTCCTTAAGAGAGGACAGTGACAGCTGTCTTCCTTGCCCCACCCCAACCTCCCCAAAGTCAATGGCTGGTTCTACAATGGGAGGAGTTCAGGGTATATTTAAAGACAGACTTCCTGCCCAGGAGAGATGTTCTGTACTGAGATAGCCAATCTTCCCGCAATAGCCCAGTGTGGGCTGATCTCATTTTCACAAACAGGACTGGGATGGGGGCTGGCTGGGGTACAGGCCAAGCTCACCCAGAAGTGGGGGCTGGGCAAGTGGTCCTCTGTGGTCTTTTCCTATGCAGGCTCTGCTGGCCACCTTTGACCTCCCACCTCCTCTACTCACTGGTTGGAGGCTTCCTGGAGGTGTTCTGGCTGAGAGTGGCAAAGCTGAGAACGTGCTGATTATATTCTGCAACTTCTGGAAATTTCCTGCTGTTAGTGATTTGCAAACTTTCCTAGAGATGAAAATCCAAAACAAAGTGGGAAGTAAATGGGCCTCATGAGTGACGGTGCAGGGAGCTTTATCATTGGCGGTGTTTATGTGCAGGAACCCCTGAGCAGGACTGTGGGCCCCTTCATCTTTATGGCGGCCAGAATGCTGGGTATTAGCAGGGCTTAGGACAGAGGCTGACCTGCTGGGCTGACACTGACATTTCCCTCCGTTTTTGAGAGGCAGGGGGAGCACTGCTGCCCTCCCGTCTGACAGGAGGTGCCCAAGGAGAACCCCAGGGCCACCAGCAGAGAAGAGTTCCAATAAAGCTGGTTCTGCAGCTGGAGGCTGGGGTGGGGAAGGTCAGCAGGAGTTCATGAAGAACGCAGAATGACCGTAATGAGAAGAGACCTTAATGGGTGGATGAGGGTGGAGTAGGCATTTGAGGGAATCTAGGTTCCTTGGGACCAGGCTGAGCCTGTTCATGAAGTCAGAGGCTAGACCTCTCTCTTCCTGAGCTGCCCCACTCCTGGAGCCCAGAAGGATTTTCTGCGCATTGTCCCCTTCTTAGCCCCCATCCCCATCCCCATCTGGGTCCACATTCCTGTCCACAGCCACAGCAGTCCTGGCGGCAGCCATAGCTGAACCACATCTGGGGCTCTGATGGCCGCATCTGCATCCGCCCCTCTCAGAGTCAGTTATTTCTACTTGACTTTTATCTGCATCTGTGGAATCTGGAGGGGATCTGTGGATGGTGGGTCCCCAGCTCCAGGAGCTGTCAGTTTTGGGGGAAGGGCTGGGGAGGATTCTGTGTCACCAGGCCTAGAGGAGCTGCCCTGATGCGCTTCAGCTGAGAGCATGGGCTCCCACCTCTCTGTAGTCATGGATCCCTGGCTGTTTGGTTCCAGGCAGAGACATCTGGGGAGCAATCCTGACAGAGCCTAACACCTCCCTCCTTAGGTTCTCTGCCTCTCTCAGTCCTACTCTGCCTATGCCACTCACCCTTCCTCCAGGAGCAAATTATCATTGTTACTGACTCCAGGTTATGGCTCCCAAATGACAAATGGGGGTGGTAGCAGAAGAGAAAGGACACTCATGTTGCATAAGGGAGGGACATAAATGTGGGGTGTGGGAAGAGGGCACAGGTAGCTTCGAGGAGTTCCCCTCGGCTATTTCAGCGGGGCCTGGGCTGGTTTGGAAAGGCTCCAGGTAATGTCAACATGCAGCACTAGGGGCAGGGGCTGCGTGGTCAAGATGGTCTGTGCTTACAGGCCAGGAGTGTGCAGGAGAGAACTTCTGGCTTTTAAGTCAAAGCACCTTGGGTCTCCCAGCTGGCCTCTGATCAGACTTCTTTGTGTCCAGAGTTCCCTGGCTGGCTTGCCTTCTCAAGACTGAGGGAGAGTGGGTGTGTCTGTGTCGGGGGTGAGGGCGGGCACACCGAGCATTTCTTGATTTGGTCCTTCCTGGTTGGTTGGACAAGCGTCGTGGCCATACAAACCCTGACACAAAACTGAGCCAGGACAGGATAAAGGACACCCGGGGAGCAGTACCTTCTCTTTGGGCTGCCCAGACCTGCTGATTTCCTGGGAACTTTGCAATCCAGTGTCCCTCTGAGTGAGGTCTTCCAGGGTGAGGGGGGTAGACTTTCTGTGGCTTCCCTCACTGGACTACAGAAAACATGAGGTTTGGGGCAGAGAAAGGCAACTGGAAAGGTCCTGAATGGGACAGTGTGTGACTGTATAAACAAGCCCATCTGTGTGTGTGTGTGGTGTGGTGATAAATCATGAGGCCTAGAAGGTCATCATCCCTGTCCTGATCAAGGACTCCCCTTATTGTGTTCTGGAAGACTCTGGGACCTTGTGCTTTAGAATGGCATTTTGCCTGGTGCATTCCCTGGGATGAATCAGAATATTAGCTGAGCCCAAGTTAGAGTTGGCTGATCAGGGAGAGCACCCCAAAGTGGGGGGTGGGGTCCTCAGTGGTTCTGCAGAGCTGACAGCTAACCAGGTTTGGGGCTGTTTTCCTAGATCATACCCTTCCCACCTCTGCTATGATTCTTGTGTCATGCTGCAGTGGGTTTCCATGCTCTGTGACCTCAGAGCCAACCCTCACTCAGTATCTGAGCAGAAACCCCATCTGGATCTCATCTCATCCCCACGCAGAAAGAAGACATCCCAGCTGAGGCTCCATACTTACCCTGTGAGATATTGCTGGTGGGGGCAGTGATTCCAGCGGTCACATCCAAGACTGGCGACACTTTACCCAAGTAACTAACCCAATCTCCCTGAACCTCAGGTTCCTCATCTGTAAAGTGGTAGTGATGGTAATGCCTAACTCCTTGGCGTGGTATTAATTAAGTACAGCAATAAATAGAAAAAAGTCTATTACAGGGCCTGACTTCCTAAGTGCTCGGTGCATGTTAACTCTTACTGTTGTTGATTCCCACCCCCCGACAGCACTCTTCTGTGCGAGTCAAGCTTATGATTCACATGGGTTGGGGTGAGAGCTGCACATTAGGGCTACAGTAAGGTTTTGGATAAGGATAAAGATATGGGGTTAAATTCAGTGATTTTTAAAATACTGTTTGGGTTGAAGCTGGTTTGAGTTTCCAGGGAGGGATGGGTGTTAGGACTAAGTTTGGGGTTAGGATGACATTTGGGGTGGAAGTCACTGGGAGAATTAGGGTTAAGGGATGGGGTTGCCCTAAAGGAAGGTTTTCTGTTAGGAGGAGATTGACAGCTGTCTCCATCCCACCATATACTTAGGAGACAGGTTGGGGCTCTGAAGCCCAGCCTCCTGAGGGGTTGGCCCAAGCCTGCTTAAGCTCAGAGCTTTTCCCAGGATGACCCCCACCCCTGCAGGCTTTGTTTGGTGGAAAGAGCAGTACATGAGGTCAAGGCCTTTTGGGGGAGCCTTAGGAAGGAAGGCTGCAGGGAATGTAGGAGACTCACTGTGACTGCCCTGGAATGTTCAGCTGTGCTTTGGACCAGTCCCACATCTCCAGCACAGTCATACTCTGGCCCCCAGCTCTAGCCCTCCCATCCCTCCCCCATTCTCACCTGCCTGGCCTCTGATTCCAGGATTCGGTGGCCCCAGCTCCCTTGCACATCTCACAGGGAGCAGGCAGGAAGAAACCAAGGCCAGGCTTGGGTGCCCTGCAGCCATCTAGTGACCCCCCACCTCCTGCAGCCTCCACCTCCTGGGGGTGGGGAGAACACAAAGGCTGGATCTTTCCAAGAGCCCCATCCTCCTCCCTCTGGCTTTTCTCCTGCTCCCTCCCAGGGCTGGCAGAGGCCAAAGAAAACAGAGCGCTTCCCCAGCTCACTCTCACTCTCTCTCCCTCACTTCCTGCCGGGATGATGGGGTACTCCCTCCCCCGCCCTGGCTTGGACCTGCCTTTGGTGTCAAGTTTCTCCAGAGCTTCCAGAACAGAGGCCTTGCCTGGGCTCAGGCTGGACCCCTCACCTTGCTCCATCTTACCTCTCTTGTGTCTTTTCTCCTTTGACCCAGCGCCCTGTGCTCCAATCTTACTGTAGTAAAATTCTGTTCCTCATGCGGTCGAAAAACCCAATGGAAAAAAGGTTTCTTTGGGGCTTCAGGGTGAGAGGGAGTGGAGAGGAAGACAGCTGCTGTGGGAAGGGCACTTTCCAGGCCCATGGCCCAGGGAGAAGGCGGCCCCTGGAGCTGTGCAGGAGCTGGCCCTGGCCAGGGGAGCCTTGATGCCTCTCCCCAGGGCACCCCAGAGGCCTCGTCCTAAGGTCCACTTGTGGCCAACTTATGGGGCAGATCTGCTCAGAACCTCCGACTTCTGGATCCCTGCTTAATCTGGTTCCAAGTCCAGTTCCTCTCCCCAAATTGTCCAAACCCAGAGGGATCTCAGCCTCTTTCCCTTCTCCAAACAGAGCTTGGTCAAAGAGCCCCTCAGTCCCTGAGAGGACCGTGGGGTTCTCTGCCCACGCCTCTGACCGCCCCTCTCTCTCCATAGGCCTCTCTTCTGGCCGAGACTGACCTTCTTCCTCCTTTGCTCACTTGCTCTCTCCAGTTTCCTGACCCAGAACTCGGGTCCCCTTGAAGATGCTGCTCAGTTGACTCAGAAACAGAAGTTAAACATACGGGCTCCAGTATCACTCTCTGGGTATGAATACTCCCTCCATCACTCACCAGCCGGGAAACTCTGGACAAGAACCTGCAACCTTATTTGTGAAATAGGAATAATAATTGTATCTACCTCACAGAGCTGTTGTGAGGATTACACAGGTAATGCAGTAACGCCTTAAAGGACTTAGTGTAGTGCCTGGCACATAGCATACTCCTTTCAGGTGATAGCTGTTATTATTACCATATCTTATGATCAGCCACCTGCCCCTGAAGGCCATTCCAGAGAGACTACTCAGGGTGGGAGAAGAGCAAGGCTGTTACTCTCTCTCCGCAGGACTAGTCGGTGGAGTTCTGGTTTGCCCACCTACCACTCACTGTGCAACGCCTGTCTGGCATTTAGCACAAATTAGTTCTTCCTTCTTTCCTTCTAGCTTCATCCCTCCCTCCCTGGTTTTGTAACTGAATTCAGCACTTACCAAGAATCTACTCTGGCTCAGTGCCTTGCTGTTACGCACTAAGGTCACCATAATAGGTAAAGACAAACAGCCTGAAGTGTGCCCTTGGGGATAGGGAAGATGGGTATGTAAACCAGAACAAATGGTTCTGTATCTGAGATTCTGTGGGAGAGGTTGTCCAGATATAATGGAGCATAAAAGGACTGAGTTAGTAAAGCTTCAAAGCTGAGGGTTCCAGAGCAGGTTTTCAGGCAGAAGGAATACTTGAGCAATGACAGAGAGGTGAGAAATACCACATTTTATTGGGAATATATCTTCTCCAGTTGGGAGTTAAGAACTGGGAGCCTGCGCACAGGCTCTGCAGAGAATATCTTTATTATGGAGAATGCTAGAAGAGCAAAGTCTGCCTGCTCCTTCCAGAAGTGATCCTTCCTCCAGTTAGCTGAATGACTCACTCTCCTCTTCTCCGTCAAGTCTTATATTCAACTGCCACTTTCCCAGGGAGGTTTCCCTAACCGTCCTATGCTAAACGGCAACCTGCCCTGCTTTACGGCTCTATCCCCCCCATTCTTCAACTTGCTTACTTTTTCTCCACAGCACTTATTGTCATCTAACATTCCATGTATTTTATTTTATTTTTGTCTCATTTGTGTCCTATTCTAGAATGTAAACTCCACAAAGAGAGGGATTTTTGTCCATTTTATTCACTACTGTTTCCCTAGTGCCTGCATAGCTTGGCACATATGGGAGCTAAAGAAATATTTGCCAGGTGGATACTCATCCCTTGGTTCATTCAGGAGACATAGTTGGCCATCTCAAAAAGGGGCCCAGTATGGGGCTGTTGGGCTGTAGCCAGTGATCCCCAAGTGCTAATTCACAGACTAGCTAAGATCATTTTAGGGAACTTACTACATATACAGATTCTGGCATCCCACTTAATGAATTAGAATCTCCACAGGTAGATGCTAGATTCAAGCAGGGATGCTTGGTGATTTGATGTGCACCATGGTTAGAAATCACAGCTAGATAATCTGGAAGATAGAACATTCTTCCTTCAGCAATAAGAGAATGGAGTATCAGGAAGGAACTCATAGAGAGCAGTCAGGAGGCTATTGCTATAGTTTAGCTTAGAAACAAAGGTGGCTTTGATGAAGGTTGAGGCATTGGAGATGGAGAGAAGTGGGTGGACTAGATTCGGGGCTGTTGAGGATCTGAAATCTTGAGATGGGTTGCCTATGGTGCATGAGAGATCGCAGGTGTCAAGATTGAGCACTAGGTTCCAGGCTTTTCCAGATGCGTAGATGGAGGTGCCATTATTCAGGTGAGGAACCCTGGAAGAAGACCTGGTTTGGGAGGCAAGATTATGTGTTTAATCTTAGAGATGTTGAACGTAAGGTGCTTTGGCAATTAGAGGGGAAATGTCAAGGCAACAGTTACATGCCCAGACCAGGAGATTTCCAAAGCCAGTCATCTGAAAACATGATGTTTGGAATGAAAGTAGTTTTTCAGCTGAGCAAGAAAACTGAGATCAAAAGAGTTAATGTGGGCTACCTCAGCATGTTTGCCCGTCATGTTAAAAAATATGCAAACATATATAGTTTCCATGTGAGAAGCAAATAAATTAATGGACTCTAAAATAAAATTACATGTGCCCTAAACTTACTTATGCGGAAAAAAAAAAAGAAGAAGCAGGAACTATACAAAGGTAAAATGCATGTGTAGTTCTTATTGAAAGATTTAAATCTTGCTGACACCAATATGAAATGGTGGGTTGTGATTCATAAGGAAGGTAGTGTGATTTCTGCACATGGGCTCTGACCTTGGGTGTCTGAGCTGGAGCTCAGAGAGTGATTCTAATTGATTCAACACAAGGCTGGGTGGGGGTGGGGTGGAGATAAAATGTCTACTAGGACTGTGGGAAGAACAATCTTACTGCACTTTAAGCAGATAAGAGGTGGTTCACACAGAAAAAGGAGTTTAGAGAAATAAGATTATGTCAGGCTTCTCCAGCCAGGCCCAGGGGTGGGAAATATAGATTGTGAAGAGCATGAGCTGCCTGGTGACCAGACAGTGTCCATTTTTTTAAAGAAGTTTTTTCCTGTCAACTGCAAAATCAGACTACCTTGTGTTCTAAATGTAGTTATGGAAGCAAACAAACAATAAAAAAAGTACTCCCAGTGCAAATTGAACTCAAAAAGCACACAGAATGTAGAACAAGGCCAGGTCTTTCTGTGTAATCACTTTTGGGGTGAAAAGTTTCCAAAAGGCTCCACCCTACCACAAAAGTTTTCAAATGGAAGGAAAGTAGGCGTTTTACAAAATGTAAATCTTGAATGGCTGCAAATGTCAATAATTTGGAGTTGTTTTTTGGAGGCTGTATTTCTCTGTTGTCCCCTGGAATGATAACAAACTTGTGGAAAGGAAAATTTCCAGCTTCAATGTCTTCAAAATGTTGTGTGAGCACCCAGATGATGTCTAAAGGCAGGGATAAATTAATCAAACTCCAAGCCAGCAGAGCTATTTACTATTTTAATGCTATTATTATTTTTAATGTCTTAATTTTGAAATAATTGTAGATTCACAGAAAGTTGCAGAAAAATGTACAAGGGCTCATGTATCTTTCACCCAATTTTCCCAGATAGTAACATCTTGGATATTATTTCTAATTCAATAGAGAAAATTAGAAAGTGTCTTAGGCCTTTTTGTGGCAAGCTTTCGGAAGACTGAATTTACATAAATTTAAACAATAAGGGGAAAATGTATTCCTGCCTAATAAACTAATTTGAAGCAGTTTAAAATGTATTTGAGAATTTATTTCTTTTCTTTTAACACTGCAGAAATTGGTCCACAGCCACAGGAAAGTGAACATCCCCAGCCCAGTGTAATCTGAGCCCTGACTACCGGTTTCAACTCCACCTTCATTGTTTGCAGTGTTCTTGATATATCTCTTTAGCAATTAAAAATGTCAGACCTTGTAG